GCCTGCAGCACCGACTGAAGAGGAAAACGTGTTTACCTGTGATCCACTATTAGGCAGGGCTTCTGGCCCCGGCCGGTGTGGCTCAGTGGATAGAGCGTCAGCCCTCAGATAAAGGGTCCGGGTTCGATTCCAATCAAGGGCATGTACCTCAGTTGCAGGTTCCCTGGCCCTGGTCAGGTGCATGCAGGAGGCAACCAGCCGATGTGTCTCTCACATCCATGTTTCCTTCTGTCTCTCCCCCTCCCTTCTACTCTCTCTAAAAATCAATGGAAAGATAGCCTTGGGTGAGGATTAACAAATAAACAGACAAACAAACAGGGCCTCTGCTGACCTTGGGTCATGCTCACTCCGCCAGCTCAGAACCAGTGAAATTCCCCACGTCCCATCCCTCAAGGTTCTCATAGCCTTGGGTTCTCCCCCCAGCGACTACCAGGAGCTCCCTGAGGGTGACCCGGTGGGTGGATCTCTCGGTGGGAGGGGGAGAGCACCCCCTGGGAGCCCTGGGTGGCACTCCCAGAGGGTGCCAGAGGGCCTTGTGATGGGGTGCTGGCGGTGCTGGGGGTGTGGGGTGAGGAGGTGGCCTCCTCTGGCTTGGATGCTCTCGGGAAGGAAGTGCCTCCCTGGCCAGGTGTCTGCGTAGCCCTGGCTGCAGGGAGGGAGCCTGGGCAGGCCCAGCTGTGGCTGGAGAGGCGCCGGCCCTCTCTAGGGTCTGGGGAGTGGGGTCATTTTGGGCCTGGATGATGCCCATGCTTTGTCAGCGTCCATAGGAGGACGCCCCGCTGAGGGCAGGCCCACTCCCGCCTGTCGGACTGCTTCCTCCTGGGACAGAGCCGGAGGACAGAGTCCACCACTCGGTCTCTCCAGCTGGTGCAGCCCCTGGCGCCTCTGCGGACCCTTTGAAGATGCCTTTTCCTCATCCCTCACCACCTGACGGCTGTCTGTGGACACCCCGGGTCGGCAGGGCCTCAGGCTCAGAGACCCAAGGTGAAGGGTGGCCAGTCCCCTGCTCTGTGGGTGGGGGGGTGGGAGCACACCTGAGCTCTGGCCAGTGCACTGTTCCAGCCAGAATGGGACTCAGACTCCTCAGCCACAGCAGGAGACCCCCCAGCAGGAGACAGCCCGCCAGCCTCCTCCCCCAGGAAGCCCTCCGGCAGCAGCACCTGCCCCTGACCGTGACCTGCCAGGTATGTGCTTCAGAAAGGCAGCTCTTAGGGCAGAGGAGGAGGCTGGAGGCCGTGGGGGGTGGGGGGTGGGGGAATGAGGGTCCGGGTGACAGAGGAGGCCCAGTTCAGGAGACAGAAACCAAGAAGCCTCAGTTCCCGACTGGAATTAAACGACAAGGGAGAGAAGGGTCCTGAATCGGACCCCGGAGGCACACAGGCTCCAGGGGCACGTGGACTTGAGCCGCGGCAGACGTCACGCCACTGCCATGACGGGTGAGAACTTAAGAATGAAAAGCCTTTCGAAGCGAGAGGCAGCCGGCATTTATTTGAGATCCGTCAGAACAGCTGTTCAGGAAGCGCTGATTCAGGCAGAAACCCAAATAGTTCTCCATCTGGAGGCAAAGGGAAGGGAACAGTGACACCCATAGAAGGAAGGCCTTTCGATGGATGCGGATAAGCTGACAGAGTGATGCTAATTCTAAACGATTTTTAAAGTTTTCAGTCCACCTGGTAGGTGCGGGGAGGGGAGGGGGGGATTTCCAGCCCAGGAGGCATCAGTCTGCTAGTCAGAGTATCTGCTTTCCTGTTATCTTTGCAAACAGTTCTTTGGGATACAATGCTGCTTTAGGCAGAATCCAAGGTTATTTTGCCTGTTTGTAACATTCCCGAGGTCTGGGGACTAAGACAGCACAGCTCCGACTCTATCCTAGTTGATGTCATTTTGACTGTCCTTTGGGCAAGAGAGTCATTCACAGCCTACATCAGCAATTATATTTATGCACGGCCATGGCATTACTGAAAAACACCAAAACGCTGGCTTTCTCAAAGCATCTGATTTAGTCACTTAGGTGAGAGAGTAACCAGAGGCCGGCACACAGCTGGGCCCGGCAGTCCGGGTGGGCGGAAGTGGGAGCCCAGCCCTTGCCAGGTGGCTCGGTTGGTCAGAGGGTTGTCCAAATCGGCCAAGGTTGGGGTTTGATCCCGGGTCGGGGCACGTACAAGAATCAACCAAATGATCCCCAGCCGGTATTGCTCAGTGGTTGAGTGTCAACCTATGAACCAGAAGGTCGATTCCCGGTCAGGGCACAGGCCTGGGTTGCAGGCTCGATCCTCAGTGTGGGGCGTGCAGGAGGCAGCTGATCAATAATTCTCTCTCATCATTGATGTTTCTATTTATCTCTCCTTCTCCCTTCCTCTCTGAAATTAAAAAAAAAAAAATCAACCAATTAATATGTGAATAGGTGGAACATCAGGTCGATGTTTTTCTCTCTAAAAACGTCAACAAATAAAAAAAAAATTAAAATGTTTTTATTGATTTCAGAGAGGAAGGGAGGGAGAGAGATAGAAACATCAATGATGAGAGAGAATCACTGATTGGCTGCTTCCTGCATGCCCTATACGGGGGATCAAGCCCGCAACCTAGGCATGTGCCCTTGACTGGAATCGAACCCAGGACCCTTCAGTCCGCAGGCCAATGCTCTATCCACTGAGCCAAACCAGCTAGGGCTAAACAATTTTTTTTTTAAAGAGAAGTGGGAGCCTGGGATATGAGAAAGAAGACAC